TATGAGCTTTGCCTTGTTTACCTTTGTGACTCAAAGCACACAGACGGACACTTTACCGCAGTTATAATTCACCTTGACACTGCAAGTAAAAGAGGAATAAGATAAGATGAGATATGAGCTAATGCTTTTTTTTTTGTATGTACAGTCTGCTGTTTATTCCAACTTGCTTATTTTAGTGATTGTTTTGTCCCAGTGTAATGGCAATATTCATTTTGGTTTTATTCCAGTCCTTTGTTTCTGCAAATATTATTTGCTTTCATTTCCTAGTATTGTTTAAATTAAAAGTGTTTGATTTTTTCCTGTTCTCTGTTTTCCATGAAGTAACCCATGGCTGCACTTTCAGGTTAACAAAATGAAATCTCTGCTGAATAATAGACAACTAATGATAAAGGTAAACAGCTCCTCTTTGAGCTATTCTGGGGCTGGGTTTTTTTTTTTTTTAAAGTCCTTTTTGTTTCCTGTCTGGATACTAACTATTTGTATAATTTGTAACCATTTGCTTATCTTGTAACAATTTATATTATTTGTAACCATTTGCTTTTCTTGTAACAATTTATATTATTTGTAACCATTTGTTTAATCAAATGTAATTTGTAACCAGCTGTACATATTGTAATATTTTCTGTAAAGGTGATTCCCCTGTTTTAACACTTTCCAGCTATTGTTTTTATAAATATTTAATAGTCTCTGTATGGCTCATCACTTTCTGCATTTTTAGTATTGTTTGGCTCTTCACTCTCTTTGGTTTTGGTATCATATTTTTTTCTTCTTATGTCTCATTGATGGTATGTTGCCGAGTGTGCTTGCTTATTAAGACAGTGGTCTGAGTTCAAACGCCAGAAGTTATCATACTCTTCAGACCATTATGGTGTTTTCTTCTTTACGTTCACCGGCTGGAAACTCCAGCAGAAAGTTCTGGTTGTTCATCCTCTTTTGGACTAGTCGTGTTTCAGAACTTGAGTTTTGTATGCACACCCGTTTAAAAGATTTGGCTTATTTGTATGCAGTCTGTTGGTTCTTTTCATCTCAGGCAGATGCACTCCAGCTTTGAAGGAAACCCCTAATTAGTCAAATTTACACATGCTTATTAGAAAGGCAATGAGTCTACTATTTTCCCCTCCCAAAGTTGGGCTACATACCTCAGATGGAAACACATTTATAATATGAAGTTGGAGCAGCCTTAGAAAATAGGTGCTAAATTCCCTGTGTGGATTCTGGGGCCCCATTCTGGGGTAAACAAAAATAGACCCACTACCTCCCCAACATGTCATAGGAGTCGACTAATTGGGGACTTCCTTCAAAGTCAGAGTGCATCTGCCCGAGCGGCAAGCAACAACCAACTGCACACAAATAAACCAGTAAAATGGATGTACATGCAAAACTCAGGCCCTGAATGAAGCCAGTCCAAATGGATGAACAAGCAGGACTTTCCGCTGGAACTTACAGCCGTGAAACAAAGAAGAAAAGGTGCTAGACAATCTCCACTTATTCTCTGTGGGGGTTCTGTGACACCATGGGGAAGGGGAGCGTAGAATAATAGACCCACTGCTCCCAAGCCAGCAGGTTGTTAGAGGAGACTAATGAGGTGTGTTTCCTTCATAGTTGAATTGCATCTGCCTGAGAAAAAAAGGAACCAACAGTCTGCAAAGATATAAGCCAGGCCTGTTAAGCAGCTTGTGGTGCAAAATCAGGTTCTGCAGCAAGACTAGAATCCAGAAGTGAATGAATAACTGGAACTTTCCCCTGAGTTTACAGCCAATGTATGGCAAGAAGATCTCCACACATATTCCTAAAATGTATCTGTCAAGGAAAAATGATAAGGAGAATTATGCAGCCTTTTTAATTATATTGTGACCTAGCATATGTTTCTTCTTCTTTTCCTCCTCCACCTTTTTCTTGTGTTTACCCTTAAGAGGATGGTTCGTACATTATGCTGTGATTTACAAACTACTTTTTAAGGGCCAGTTCCCCCCCCCCCCCCTTTTTATCTGCTTCCTTAATGGGGCCCTGCCAAGTGGTCCTAGCATATGTGAGTGTCTGACACTTCACAACCTGACTGCCATGATTACTGAAGTATGCATATTTGAGGAGATATTGTGCAAAACATACATCAGATGAGCACAAGAGATTCTGTAGCATATACTTATGTAAATATGTGCATAAAGTTTTGTGGTAATTTAATTCAATAAACACACATGAGATTTAAATGTATATACTGTGAAAACATGAACACTAATTATATAACATACAGTTTAATTTAAAGTATGCATGATAATTAATCATGTGCATTTGATTATAGACTTCAGCGAATAATGCATGAGATTATATATACACTTGATTAAACAAATGCATGCAAATTTACATCACAGTTTTCAGTAAAAATATGTTTGGAATTGAATGGGATACGAACTGAAAACATGAGCATGAGATTATATGGCATAAACATGAGTAAATGTACAAAAGAGATTGTGTGATGTGAATTTATGTTAACAAATGAAAATCAGATGGTTTAAACGAGTAAAAATATGGTTGATCTCAACAGACATATACAAGAGGTTATGTGGTATATAATTGATTAGATGTGAGTGATACAGCATACACTTCCCTAAACATATGTTAGGATTTATATGATATATAGTGTCAAGACATAAGCAAGATATTATGTGGTATGATTTTTGTAAACATATGCAAGAGAATATAAGGTAAGTATTTCAATAACAGATTCAAAAGATATTAGACTTGGACATACTAAACACTGGAAAGAAAGTGTATGGTCTACATCTTTTAAAAATAAAAACATTTGTATGAGTTTGTATTATATAGATTTAAATGAACATAGGCAAGTGATTTTTAACACATTCTCCATTACCTCTTTGAGTCCCAGAGGGTTTAGCATCAGAGGCCTAAGTGGTGGCAATGCAATTTTTTAAATTTCACAAGTGTAAGACATTAAAGCAGACCATACTAATTCAACAAATAATTGCGTTAGTAATTAAAAATTTGTAAATAAACAGACAATATGTTTACAAAAATTAGTATAATGAAATTTAAAAATTTTCCACTTACCAACATGGCACTCAAGAAAAACTGGTTAACATGTATCCAAAATGAATCACAAATGAATAGTAATGTCTAAGTAAAATATAAACTCAGTCATTGGATTTTGTTCCAGAGAATCTTTTGAAGCATCATAACAGAGCACTATTATTTGGTAAAGAAAACTGACTCCCAAAACAAAAAGTATCTTCACGCAAAATGAAGTTATATAACACTCAATTTTCCAGCAGTTTTGTAGCTAATGTTCCTAAATAATAAGGGGAATAGCACTAGAACTAACTGACACTGAAGAAAATCGTATTTTCACTTATGTTTATTCTATTTGTGCCAGCTGACTTTGCTATTGTTGTACTCTTCGTGTGAGGTACATACACATTAGACATATCCCTCATCAAAGTTTGACTCTATAAATGACTGAAACACGCCTAATTCGAAACTTTATCTATCTAACTTTTGATAAATCTAAAAAAAAACATACTTTATTTAAATGTTAGGCATCTAAGGCCACAAAAATCAAGTTGGTATGAGCGTAGAATAGTGCTTGGCGGCCATATTCTTTTCAAACAAACACTTAGTAACTCGGGAATTTTGCAAATATTCTATATTTTCGGCTTTCAACCCACGTTTCTAAATGAGGCACACTTGATATCAGACACAAAGAACTCGGAAGGAAGTTCAAATTGTGCGGTCCGCGTTTTACAACCGGTCAGTGGTAGATTAAAAACCTTCACCTGCCATGCGTCGATTGGGCGGCTAGGTTGAAACAAATTAGCGCGTGAAGCTTTCCCTGAGACTCAAACAGTCAAACATGCATGAAATATTATTTGGTGTATGCTTGGTAAAAAAAAAAGATTTATATAATATACTACTCCAAAATAATATGCTAAATATTAAAAGAATTTTAAAATTAAGAAGGTTGATTTCATTGCACTAGACTGTATCACATATGGTCGGTCTCTGTTCTCAGAAAATCTAGCCACCTGCCAAGAAAATTGCTTAAAGCATGAACTATATGACTCTAGCACTGATCCCCTTGAATCTCTGTGAAAACTGCACTCATGAACTGTATGCAGCAGTCCCTGAAATGGACCCATGGCCTTCAGAGCGTGAGGCAAATGGCTTGACCAATTACACCACAGAGACCCTGAGAATATTACAGATGCAGACTCATTAAACATTTGCATAATACAGTCTTGATTTAACATACAGAAAAGATTTGATGGTTTACACTTCTGTTATTGAATACAAGAGATTGTGTTATATATGTTTTAGGAAAAGATATAAAATGGAACAAAAAGTATATCAGCAAGCTTCACAATAAAACAAACATTAAAAAAACGTGAAGGTTGCGGCTTGGAGCCTTCTTCAGCACATACATAGATTAGACAATACTACACAAATACACAGTATCACTTATCTTTGTATCTCGTGGCAGCCAGGTCGATGTCAAGACAATAGTCTGTTATATATGTTTTAAAGATGTGTTCAAGATTACTTTGTCTATGTTTCAGTTTCAAACTTGAGAGATCAGATGGTATTACTTCAGCAAAAATACATAAAAGATTATATCCTATATATTTTAGTTGATTTGGTTAATCATATGTATGAGCATAGATGGTATTAGTTCAGTAAACATATTTAAAATATTATTTGTTAAACATGTAAATGACAACATGCAAAAGTTGCCAGTAGGTCTATTCTTCTTTCCAGCAAAATGGGATCATGGATTAGTTTTAACTCAAGTAGCCTAGATTTTTTTTACATTTGCATGCAGCGGCTTTGCTAACATTTTCTAACACCGAATAATTGTTGTTAACTTCTGTTATAACCATTGCAAACATCTATATTATAATGATGGCTGTATAAACATTTGTTCTGTTTCATCACTTTTATTGCTATATAAGTGAAGTAAAAGTCCTTTTTCTGTCTGTATTTCTGCACACACAGATTGATTATTGACATTTTTTTGGGGGGTGAACTGTACTTATAATGTTGTGGGAAAATTTGAGATTTAAACATATTTTTATTTTGTTGAATGTTTTTTGTTGTCTTTATTATGTTATTAATCTCATTGTATTTCTTTCTGTTGAACACCTCAATGGGATATTTATGTTGTAGATTTGTCTGTTGAACAAAGAGATGGTCTGTAACTGTAAATAATCTGGTCAGAGAAGGTAGCTGCATCCACATGATCATTAAATAAAACCAAGTGTGTATCAGGGTCCTCACCATCTTTCGTAACATCTGCCACTGATCCATGAAACTAGTTTAATTTCTTTAGCTTATTTACACTTGGAGGTGTTGGTGGTGACACAAGCTTTCATGTGACTGGAATCACACGACTGTTCTCACGCATATGTGCTAAATGATTCTTTGAGCATGTTCTGGTGGGTGTCTATGCAGTCAGTGGATTCAGTCGTTGCAAAACTCTACTGTGCATGGAGCTGTTTTTATCTTTATCCTAGGGAATGCCGATGTTGTTGGTGATGAAAGTGCTAATAGAGTGGCTGGTTCTGTCTTAGTTGCAGATGGCAGGTCTGTGGATTGCACAGACATTGTTAATGCCCTTAGAGAGTTAGGATGATCGAAGGATTTTTGGGGTGGAGCAGCATGTCCTCGTCATTGCTAAGAAAGTGAAAATTGGGGGTAAAGGTCAGCACAGCCAGGTAAGAGAGGCACACAGGTTGTACAAGATGTCTTGTTAACCAGCATATTGCTGGCACTGTAAACCATGGTATGATGATGTATATCTTGAAAGGGGAATCTGAGCACCTATGAATGTGACCGGAGTGCTGTGAAGATAAACCAGCTCATAAAATATGTATACTTCAGCCTGCTTGTTTAACTCATTTATATCAATTAGGCTTATTTATATCAGTTATGCTTAAAGATTAGAAACCTAATCAAATTGGGTTAGGAGGTGCGGGTTCGACCCTTGGTAAGGGATGGAGATTTTTTTCTATAAGGTGGGGGGGGGGGGGGGGGGGGGGGGGGTCCTAAACTGCACAGTTTGTGGTGTCTGCATTGGCCATGTGGCCTTAAATGCTCCGGCTTACAACCTGCATGTCCTAAATTACCCTAAAAGTGGTGAATACAGGTGATAATGATTGGAAGAGTGGATAGAGAAATCAACATATGATGTGCAAAAGCAGATCAGGTCATGTGACAATTAACACGACTTCTGATGTATAGAAAAATACCTCCGTCAAAAAAACCAAATCTGGTAAGTACGGTTTTTTGGCCGACATTGTGTTACCAGTGCCAAACATGGACCTTTACTACAACTAATGAGCGGAAGATTGAAACAACAGGTGAGATGTCTTAGGAGAACTGCCGGTGTGACAAGAAGAGATAAAATCAAGAATGAAGAAATTACGTCTGAAAACAGTAAAACAATTCATTAAAGAACAACAAATGAGATCGTTTTGTCATCTGATGAGAATGCCCTGATACCAGCTGCCACAGAGAGTCACGCTGAAGAAATATAATGGACATGGAACAAGGGGAAGACCATGCAAGAGATGGACCGACATCATCAGGAGAAACCTAACAGAAACGAACACCTACTTGTACAATGCATTGGAAAAAGTGCACAAACGATCCTCACATCTCCCCACCCAACACCTCGCTGAGGTAAATGGTGGAAAAGAAGAAGAATAATTGAACCAATTAACTCATTATGTACATACATGATATCGTCTCTTAGACATTTTATTGTCCATATTATTGTTTTAATGCCCATGCTATCCCAAATGTTACTTAAGCGCTTTTGTCCCTTTGTGTTAGTTTAGAGAAAAAGTTGACACAGAACCAATTCTAAATTGCGTACAAAGACAGCAAATCTAATGGTTTGTTCACTTAGAGAGAATGTTTTATGACGTCAAACCGTACAAGGCAGACACCAAAAGAGGTCACAGAGCACAATGCAGACCAAGAACATAATTTAAAGATAACATCAGAGAAACACTCTACAACAGCATGATGTGTCTATGGGTAAGGCAGCTAGAAAAGCAAAAAGCAAAACCTTGTATGTTCCTCGATACCTAAAGTGGTAAAAGAGAAAGTGAAGAAGAGACGAAGAAGTCCCTTTATGTTGTTATTTCAACTACTCTGGGTCTGATTACTGTAGGTGAAAAATTCTCAGAAATCTATGAGTTAAAATGATGCGTGTCTAATATCGACAGAATGCTGTGGACAGACATGATCACCAATGCCAGATGGCATAGTCTGTAATTAGACACAAAAAAATATATATATAAATGACATGGATGCATGGTGAATGATGTTGGAGATCCATTTAAGCCAGTCTTCAGTGCAGAGGTGGCACTTGATTTTGATGATGGTAATGAGGCCTTTGACATGCACAGCATAACAGGTTAATTCTTAGAAACTGATTGGCACTGATAGAAGTTAATGAAAAAAGTGGAAGTTAGAATGCTTGCTATAAACAGTACAATCATTGAAAGCTGTGAAGGTGGCAGGTTTTGACCTCTTTAATTATTAAAATACTTTTTCTTCTTTTCACTTGCAGGCTAGATTATAGCTAGATTATAAACTCCAATAAGCTCACCCTATAATGTATGTTCCATTTCTTGCTTCCTTTTGTGAAAAGGGGGGGGGGGGGGGGGGGGGGGGGTTGTTTCAAAATGTGGAAAACATGTTCAAAAAAATTAATCACATGAATTTGTGTTGTAATTAGTTGTATTTATAACACAATTTCTTCTTGTTAGTTAACATAAATAAATGATAAAAAGCAAAATTATGTAGTTCTTAAAGTTAACTATATATATAACTTTGCAAAACAAAGTCTGTAGATGCTGTAGAATTAAAATTATATAATAGCTCAGGACAATTTTGTTTTTGAACTTATAAGTAAATGTTTACTTTTTTTTTTTTTTTCAGTAAAGCCTGTTGAGAATTCTCTTTAATTTTAGTTTGCAGAACCTTCCCATGATGGTTCCGGGGCCCCATTTTGAGGGGAAAAAAATAGACCCACTGCCTCCTAACAAACATATTGTCTAAGGTGACTTATTAGGGGTGTTTCCTTAGAGGTGAGGAACCAACAGTCTGCATACAAATGAGCCATATCTGTAAAATAGATATGCATATAAAACTCAAGTCTTAGAACAAGAATAAAGTCCGGAAGTGGACAAACAACCAGAACTTTCTGACAGAGTTTATAGCCGGTGAACACAAAGCAGAAGAAAAAGTTGTAGAATCAAGTGTATTTATCTTATCTATCTTTTGATGCCAGTGTTAATTTGTCTCTATGGTTTATACTGCAGTTTCACATATTTCACTCTGGTAGTTCTAATAAATATCATCTTTCTCCAGGACCAGGAGACGGAACTGGAACGGTTGAAATCACAGCTGTCTCAATTAAGAGAAGAGGAAGCCAAACTGGCAGAGGTAGCAGATTCCAGTAGACAGCAGTTAGAGCAGCTGGCATCATCACAGGGTGAAATCAGCAGTGAGATCTATGTGGTAGGTTCCTCTTTGCCATTATTCATCATCATCATTATCATCATCTTTCTTTCTTCTTTTTATTCTCTAGGCCCTGTTTTGCATTTCAACATCAGGTTTTGAAGAACATCTGGTGTGAGCCTTGGTGTATGGCTATACAGAGGAATGTAGTCACAGACTCGGCAGAGATTAGTTTCATTTTCATGCCAGGGCATGTTCTATTTTCCCTCTTCTCATAACATGGCCGAAAAATGATGACTGTCTCCTTCTGATGTCTGTGATAAGTTGTCTTCGGGCTCCCGCCTCTTTCAAAACCTCTTGGTTGCTCTTTTTGGCTGTCCAAGGTATTCTAAGCATTCTTCTGTAAAACCACATCTCTGGGACCTTTAGAAATTGTTTGGCCTGCCTACCGATTGTCCAGGATTCACAACCATATGTTAAAACTGGATGTATGTTGCAAGCAAGAATTCTTTTTCTAACTGTCAATGACAAGGATATATTGCACAAGATGTTCTTCATTTTTATAAAATGCAGTTTTTGCCTGTCCTATTCTGTTTCTGATCTCAGTTATGCATCTTCCATCTGATGTTATCCATGTGCCCAGATACTTAAATTTCTGTACTTGTCCTAAAATAACACCATCAACTTTTATTACACACTTAGGAATAATTTGTTTCTTTGATACCACCATTACTTCTGTCTTCCCATTATTCAAATTAAGGCCCATTCTTCCACTTTCTAACACCACAATGTCTATCATTTCCTGTAGTTCTTTCTGACTTGTTGCTATCAAGACTATGTCATCAGCATAACGTAAATTGTTTATATTGTGCCCACCAACCACAATTCTGGGCATACCAATTAAAGATCTCATTATATATTCACTGTATATTGAAAACAAATCAGGTGACAGTACACATCCTTGTCGTATGCCCCTCTTTATGCTTTGAAATGTACCTAAACAGTTGTTAATTCTTATAGCTGCTGTTTGCTGCCAATACATATTCTTTTTTATTCGTAGATCTTTCCCATCAATGTTTAATTTTTCTAACAGTTTGATTACTTCTTCATGCTTCACACAGTCAAATGCTTTTGTATAGTCTATGAAGCACATGTACAAATCAGTCTTTACTTCCAAAGCTCTATCTGACAATGTCCTTAGGATGTATAAGGCATTGTTTGTACCTTTTCCGTCTACAAATCCACATTGTTCATCGCTGATTTCTGGTTTAAATTTGTTTCTTATTCTTCTCATATTATTCTCAGTAAAATCTTAGTCATGTGACTCATAAGACTTTTTGTGCGATGGTCTTCACATTTTAAAGTGTCTGGTTTCTTGGGCAGAGCTGTAAATATGGATTTTAAAAGGTCATTTGGAATATACTCACATTATAAATATCATTTAAAAGTTTAGTTATTATTTCAATTCCAAAATCTCCCAGTGCTTCGATTTCTTCCAGACACACGCAATGAACAACGTGATAGAACTTCATATGAATCAGCATTGACATTTTCTCCTCTTTTGAAAAAAAAACTCGTTAAAAGCACTTCTAGAAAATCCCATAACACTGTCAGCATAACCTGCATGGATGCATCTTTTGCAATCTTAACAGGATAATCAGATCGGACTTCATCAACAATTTTAGAGCGTTCTTGAGACATTGTTTGAGACAATGCACATGCAACACCTAGTACCCCCTAATGAACGGAGACATAAAGTTTGATGTTGCTGTCACCTAATGACACTTTTAAAAACCACCAACTACATTTTCCTGCCATCCCATAACCATTTGTGAGCAACTTGTTGACTTCCCCTCAAACAATCAGACTGCTACTGGCACCATCAGAGATGGAACTCCTCGCTTGCTGCCGAAAATGGGGGCAGAGCACTTATGGGAATATCCCAAGTGCTGTAGTATCGGTTCTGGAAACTCAGCTCAACCAGTCTTCATCATCTCTTTCCCTTTTCTTATATAGCATCATGAGAAGGAGCATTTGGTGGTGCAGCACTAGATGTTCTGCTAAAGTCCTGCTTTATGATGCCTTATGATCTTCTTCTTATAGTCCAATTCACGTGGCACTGGTAGTCATATCCATTCACAACCTTCTGTCATATGTACTTTCACTCAGTTCTATCAAAGATGATCTTCATGCCATGATGTCAGACTATCCAGCATCTTCTAGGTCTTCCTCTGCCGCTTTTCCCTTTCAGCTTTCCTCCTGTCCGTAATAATCAGTTCTCATCAGGAATCAATTTCTTTCAAGACATCTTCATTACTCTTTTTACCTGTCAAGGGTATTCTTGTGTGTTTATAAAACCACATCATCTCTGGCACTTCGTAATAATTTTATTTTTACTAATCATCCAATTGTCCATAATTCACTTCTATATATCAGGATATGATTTTGTCTATAGCTCTTGAGAATTCTCTTTCTTTTCTCAGTTAACAGTGATGATCTTATCAGTTCAGAAATCCTCAGATATCACAGAAATGTGTTTTTTCAGAAGAACCTACTCCTTGTGTGTTGCTGTAACTAGCACTATGTTTTCTGTTAATGCGGAATGTTTGGTGGCGCATACAGAACCTAACATCCCACACTGTGCCAACTGCTTCAGGTGGAGGAGCACATTGGTGAGGAAATTAGCCTTATCCTAGGAAAAGGAAATGCAACTTGAAAACTTAATGTTATGGCAGGGCAGACCAGGCTCTAGCCTTGGCTGGCAACTGGTCTAGGAGGGAAGCTCTGACAAGCAGACAGATAAAGCACTGCTTTTCTGATCTGGTAGCTTCTGCAGCATGCTTTTTCCAGACACACTGGTTTAACTTTCCTTTGGAGTAAACAAGGCAGGCTGAGCAAGGGATCATCATACTTTGGCAACATATGGTCTCTACAGTACTGCCCAGGATTTGCGCTATGGAGAGCTGAAATTTGCTTCTTCATAGCACAGTATAACACTATCTTCTGTAAGGTGCCAGCGACAACAGATGCTCGCACATTTCCAAACTGCAAACAACAGATGTAGAATCAGTAAAAGAAAAGCAGTTGTTGACAACAGAGACATCCTGATGTTGTCATAATTACCACTCCATTCTGAAAAGAATAACTCATGATTGTGACGAAAGCTTTAAAATTGAAGCATGCTCCAGGGCCAGGTGAAATGACAAATGACATAATTGTTTACCTGGGAAAAGGGACCTTAAAGAAACTCCTCCAGATTTTCAACTCAAATTGTAAATAGGGCATAGTTCCTAGCTATGGAGGAAGGCTGCCATTATTCCAGTCCTCAGACAAGGCAAACCCTAGAACAAGGCAGCGACCTGTTGACCGATCAGTTTGACCAGGTTTATTTGCAAACTAATGGAAAGACTGATCACCAGTCGGCTTAAGTAGTACCTGGAGAGAATGGTAATCTTGTTGAATGAACAGTTGATTCAGAACAGGTAGATCATTTGAGGTTCAAGAATCATTCTGGTGTGTACTGAGGATCTGCCAAGGTCTTGCCATATGGCGATAATATTAATCTGTTTTAAAAATCAACAGATACTGCAGAATTATTGTTTTATAGAAGAATGTTCCAAGTAGATTCTACAACTGGAATGAATAATTTTTTTTTTTTTTTCAATGAGGAAAGATTCAAAGATAAGGTGATATAATCAGAAAGTGGAATTTGTTGGCCATTTTATTTGAAAATAAAAAATTATATATTTAATAGGAAAAAAATTAAGGGAAAAATCCGCAGAGAGCAAACTGCAGATTTTGACAGCTTTTTGCTGTTGAAAAGAAAATATCGTCCTACTGTTGTGTTGTTACATGTCGTACAGAGCTTCAGTCTAGTCCTTCATTATGTTCTGTCCTGTACAGTCCTTTTGACATCATACATAGAATCTAATCCAGAACTATTGGCCTCTATTAACAGCTTTCTATTTAAGGTTTCTTTTGGACATCTTCATTTCTTCAACCTGTTTCTGCCCCATATCAGTGCTTGCTTGTAGAAACAAATGTAATAATATAATAACATTAAGAATAAATTGTGTTTAAGAGATTAGGAAATGAAGCAAAGTATAATTGTCTGCCTTTAAAACAGCATCCTGAAGTTGATTGAAATCCTACAACTGTTGATAATTTTTTTAATCTTTGGTCATAAAAACAGGCAAAGGCACGTCTTCAGCAGCTGCATTACCAGTATGGAGATGACTCTGGATTTGCCAGTTTTCCAGATTTCACTGATGATAGCTCCAATGGCAATGGTAACTTCAACCGGCTGCAGATGTATAGCTGAACTCTTCATGAATTTTATCTTAGTTTTGGTGAGCTGTCAAAGATACCTAGTTGGTCTTGCAACTTAGTACAGTTGTTTGTTCAACAAGGCAGTGTCGTTATTTGGAGGGGACAGGTTCGATTCCTGGCATGGACTTCGTTGCTTTTTTTAAATGTTGTCTTGTGTGTCCTTTTATCTTTTATGCTTCTTTCTGTGAGTGCCAATGAATCAATGTTTGTTTGTTTAATATATATATGTGTGTATATATATATATATATATATATATATATATATATATATATATATATATATATATATATATATATATATATATATATATATATATATATGAATGCAATAAATGGTGTTTATGTGTGTGTCGTGAATGTTCTTCTCACACACTCTACGTTGCATAACTGGTACAAGCCGACACCAAGCTAGTCATATGAGCATCGATTTTTTGACATGTTATAACTTACAGCAATGTCCAGCTGTTGTCCTAATACACAGCTCTCGCACACCAATTCACGCAGCCTTCAACGAGCAGGTTCTTCATGCATTCACTGACCAGAGTCGGCTCCAATAAATCAGGTTCAGTTTCTTGCTATTATACAGACTGGTTTGGTCGATCTTGGCTTCACACTTTGTCGTCAGGGTCTCCTTTCGCAACAAACAGTCTTATGTTGACATTCTTACACTCAGTCGCACATCCTCTCGCTCCAACAGGTCGACACAAACTAAACTTGACCAGAATCATGTCTGACTTATACCACGGGTTAGTTTCACATGGCAACACATGGTGGTCCTTTACTTTCATGTGGTGACCTTTGGTCGCGTCGTCGTGATACCCGTGATAACTAGTGGTCATCACCTATCTCAAGATCCTCGTTTAATCCGAGTATGTGGAATATCTCGGTGTTTTAGGTTAGCTTTGGGCCTTCCCCCCAACCTTCCTAATCTGGGTGGAAATATCCCCCATTACAATGAAGTTCTTTTAAAATTAGTGTCGATGCATATTTAAACCTAGACCTTTAGGCGAGCAGGCAAGCCTCTAGTCCCTCACTAATGCTCTTCAGTCTTATGTGGTCATTTTCATCATTATCATCATCATCATGCAGCAAATCCTTTGCAGAACGTCGCTTCTATCATGGTCCACCTAAAAGAAACTTGGTCTCTCGCCAGCTTTCCCACCTTATGAGCTTTCATCCCCAAGAAGTCACCTAATATCCTGTGCTCATCTTCGTATTGGTCAACCCTTGCCCCTCCTCCCTGGTACCATGCCTTTAGCTATTTTTTTTTCCTTCAGTCCAGATGTTATCTGGTACCTGCGGTTAAAGCTTATCACCAATAGGGTGTTGTTTGAGACACAAAGAGAATAGCCAGTCACACATTACATATTGTATGAGACCAAAAGAAAAGAGTTAAGAATAAATTCCTTTTTTGTGTGTGTGTCTTACTGATATGAAGTTGTTGCCCAGTATCAAGGTTTTCTGTATTTGTCTCAAGCTTTTTGGGTGGCTTGGATGATGGATTTGTTCATCTTTTTGCGGGTTTTAGCAACACGATTTACCCATTTCTTTCTCAGTCCTTCCCTCGCCTTTCTCCCAATTGTTCTACTGTTTAAAAAAAAAAATCTGAGATTACTCACATTGCCTAGTAATTATTTCTTCAAGGTCTATCTGCATTATGCAGTCGTAAATACTTAATGTATTCTGATGTCCTCCATTATAAAAGGCAATGAAGATCCTAGCATAGTATGAGGAATTCACAGCACTGACAAGATTCCTGTCTGGTGCATGTCAGAAGTAGGGCAGCTGTCTTTAAACTGTCATTATGATGTCACTATGTTCATCTGCACTGTGAATTCATGTGCTTAGCACTCTTGACCTCCTTAACAACAGTATTGACAGGTTATAAGACAATGATGGGCTTATTTTAATTTCTCTCATATTTTTAAGGTTTTAATTTAAAAACTGCACACCTTGAGGGGTCTGTGGTCCATACCGAATATTTTTATTGACCAGTCAGCGGGGAATAGAGAGTATCATCATTGATCATTGGCATCATCAGAGCTAATAGACTGAAATGGTTGGGGCATATTGAAGGAATGTCAGATGACAAAGAAGTAAAAACTGTATACACAAGGAAGATGAATGGTTGTAGACCATGAGGCAGACCAAGAAGGTGATGGAGAGATAATGTCCAGACAGACCTGCAAACACTTGGTTTCACCAATTGGAAATAAAAGGCCAACTAGAGAGATGAGTGGAGGCGGGTGATATCTGCAGCAATGAACCCCGAGGGCTCGGAATGCTGAAGAAGAAGAAGAATCAATCCTAGATGGGGGAAATTAACTCTATCACACTTGCCACCTTTATTTGATGATACACATTTTAGATTTTGTTTACTCGGGAGCTGTGGCAGTATGACTCATATATAAAAGAAATTCATTTAAAATAATGATGAACATGTCTTCTTCTTGTGCCCTTCATCCTCCACTGGAGCATAGTCCCTCAACGAGCTCCTGCCAGGTCGTCCTATCCTTTGCATTCCTATGCAGCTCACTCCGTGTCTTCTTCGTCTTTTTAACGTCATTCTCTGGTTCCCGTCTCTATGTTTTTTATTTCTGACTGTATTTCTTTGCCTTGTGAGTTCATCGTTCTTCTATTAAAAGAGCTTCCTCCCATAATGATTAGATAGGTATTGCCTGTTTCTGTTTTTTGACTTTTTCATGGTTGGTTGGGTTTGGGGTTGGCTACCTTATCCTATGCGTGGGACTTTTCCATAGTTGATTGGTTTCTGTGGCTGTGGTTTTGTACGGGTTCAGGTAGCCAACCACAAGCCCAACCCTTAGTCGCCTTTTCTGACATACCTGTAGGGTGCAGTATTACTGTTCTTTGCTTCCTGTGAGCAGGGGGAACAAAAATATACTTTCTAGAAACTACTCAGGTAATCATTTGTTTTCATCTAACAGGCTGCATCAAACAGTTTCAGTAATGTTCCCCCAGTAGAGGAATTTCAAGTTGATCCATTTAAAGATGAGGATATGTTTGGCAGTGGTGGAATCCTGCCTGATCCCCAGAGTGATCCATTTCAGAATGATGATCCATTCAAAGAAAGTGAGCAGCCTGCTGTTGTAGTTGTGCATGTTGTGTAGGTATGATTGTATGTATCTATGAATGTATCTTTGTATGAGAGTATGTGTTTTATTATATTTGACAGTATTATCTAAATGGGTGGATGTGTAGTATGTATGTTTGTATATGTATGTACGTATGTGCATGTGTGTGTGTGTGAGAGAGAGTGAGTGAGTGAGTGAATGTGTCAGTGGGCATGTGTGCATGTATTAACCATCCATATTCCCCCCCCCCCCCTTTTTGATATTCATTTCTTGCAAATTGTTATATGAGCATAATATGCTTTATTAATAAAAATCAGTTGCTTTGTGAAAGATCAGTGGAAGGGCTGAATGTAAGACGGGCCTGCAGACCCAGTTTGTGACCCTTTAAAAATATAGTTTGTTTATTAGTTTTAATTGTAACATGTTTTCCCATTTTCCTTTGTGCAGTTTTGCCAATAATTTTTCAGTCAATTAGATATAACATTTGTCACTGTCTGGTAGTCCTTTCAGTAGACAGTGTTTTATCGGATGATCAGGCAGGATTCAGAAAAGGAAGAAACTACTGTGATCATATTTTCACTCTCAGAAATATTGTGAAACAAGCCTTAGAATGGAATGCAACACTATATATAAACTTTATAGACTTTGAAAAGGCCTTTGACAGTCTAGAAACAAAAATGATGTGGAGGATCCTTGCTGCATATGGGTTACCAGATAAAGTTATAAACATATTTAAGATTCTCTGTGAAGGATACTAATGCAAAGTGAAAGAAAGACTCATGGAAAGAATACTTCAGGGTGGAATCAGGACTCTGACAAGGGTATATTCTTTCTTGTTTCTCATAGTGATAGACTATATTACAAAGAAAACAACCACAGGCACATGGATGGGCCTTTGGTGGAACCTTCTCGAACACCCGGAACATTTGTACTCTGCAGATGATATCTATGTCATCAGCCAAAGCAAAGAACATCTGCAACAAAAGATAGATAAGATCACAGAAATAGCAAAACAGACAGGGTTGAGAATCGATGTCAGTAAAACAGAACTGCTGGAGATGTGAAAGCTCTATAGTAAAAGATCATGCAGGTTTGGACACAGTAACTAACTTCAATTACCTGGGAAGCAATATCTCCTCTAATGGAAATGTAGTGATTGAAATCAAGCAGATAATTGCAAAGGCAAATGCTGCTTATAACAGACTTCAGAGTGTCTGGAGATCAAACATCTACAGCACTAAACTTAATTCAGGATATACAGAACATACTTTAGAGCGGAAACTTGGAAAAAAGACAGAAAGATAGAGAGCATGCTCAGAGGTTTTAAGGGAAGACTTCTCAGAAAATTGTTGGGGTTTACAGAGGAAGATAGAATCAGCAATTTTAGATTACAACAAATAACAGACTTAGAAGATGTAAATTTAGAAATAAAAAAAAAAACGAAGATGGGGGTGGATTTGGCACATCCTCAGAATGAAGAAAGAGAGAGACCGAGACAGGTAATGCAATGGACACCACAAGGACAGCGAGGAAGAGGCAAGCCCAGAGGCACTTGGAGGCAAACCTTTGAGGCTGAACTCAAGGCTATGTGAAGGACAAAACTGGAGATGGAGAGGATGGCTCAGGATCGAATTGAATGGTGACAGTTTGTCTCTGCCTTCCTCTGGACACGATGAGGACTGATTGATTGGTAGTCCTTTGAGAGTGAATGAACAGCGTGAATGTACAAATAGATCATCACGGTCTAAGGAGAATGGTGCTGCGAGGAGTGAACGGAATCTGTCCAATGCTAAGCACTCAAAGGAAAGGTGAGATGGTTATACAGTCAGACTGTTACTGGCACCAGCGGAACTGGAACTCTGCACTTACTGCTGAAGATGAGGACTGAGTACTTATGGGAATGCCCCAAATGCTGTGATGTTGATTCTTAATTCAACATCCAACATTTACTGTCTAGTTATTAATTGTGAAGTATAATTCATTATGATCATCACTTTTTATTTGTGTTTCTGGAATCTTTTCAGTAGGTGATCCATTTAAATCAAGCGATCCATTTGGTTCAGAAGATCCATTTAAAGATGCTTTTGGTGATACTTCAGCTAATGTTAAGGTAATACTTTACAAATTAAAAAAAAAAATTTCAACATATTTAAAGCAAAACTTAAAAGTATTTTTATTATATTTTGTTTTATCATATTCTTTTAAAGTTAAGCTTAAGAATCTCACTCTGGATGGCAAACCAACAGGGCATGATCCTAGATAGCCTGTTTAGCCTCCTAAGATGTTATAATTAGAGAACCCAATGCAGCAACACCAGACAGGTGAGAACTTGCTTTGCTGCTGGCTGCAACTACATAGCTGCCATGTCGACAGATATGACTATTTATATTTTTTAAAATTAGATATTAAAATTTAAAAAATAAATAAAAGTTAGTTGCATATCGTTCACAGACGTTTCAGAATTAACCCCAACGTTTTTGTGTGTGGCTGTTGTGGTTTTTCTAGGCAGATTATTATACTTTCAGTAGTTTGCCATTGCTTCTGGATGGTCAGTTCTCAGAACCATTGTCGAAACCAATGTAAGATAAATCGTCCTCAGCCTGGATCGAACCCGGCACCCCTGCATTACAAAGCATGTTCGCCTAGCCTAAGCCACAAACATTGAAAATATATAAGATATTAGGGATTAAAAAATAACTTCTTTTTTTTTTTTTTTTTGAAATTTATTTAACCCTGAAGAGCCCATTGGGTCATGGGTGACCCAACCTTAAAAAGTCACTTTAGAGGCAAACACAGTTTATTGACACTGACAAATTCTGTCCATATCTACCCAGTGTGGCATGTTAGGAACATACGAACAGTAACTGTTACATTGTTGAACAAAATGTGTCTTTTACAGTGATGAGCCAGTGGGTTAAGGGTGGAACAATTGAGATCAAAGTCACATATTTTTTTTAAAAGTGTGATCGAAATGGACTATTGGTCAAATATTAAACGTTATCACCAAATTTTAAATTTTCTCTGCATGTGGAACATGGCCAGAGTTTTTCAGGGTTAAAACTAAATTGAAAGGTCACAATAACATAACCTCACTATACTGCAAGTGGCTGTCTCACCAAAATCCCTCTTTATGTTATCAAATGGGAAAAAAAAGTAGCTAATTATTTTATTGCGTTTGTATTTAGTGGTTACTTGCTTTAACATTAATATTTATTTGAACAAAGAAGACACAAACAATAGACTGCACAATTTATTGCCTGGCATGTTTAGCTGTATCTCGTCAGGTGCATACTACAGTAACAATTCTAGGATTAAGCTATTTGCTTCATTTTAATCAATTGTTACTGTAGTATGCACCTGACGAGATACAGCCAAACATGCCAGGCAATAAATTGTGCAGTCTATTGTTTGTGTCTTCTTTGTTCAAATTCACATCGGGGAAACACTGCTTTGATTATTATTTATACCAGTTAGGTTACCAACATCAAACTTGAACATTGACAAAAGAACACGAGAGACAACTAACCACCTGTGAGGTGAGACGTTTGAGAATGGCTGTGAATAAAACCAGAAGAGATCGAGCGAGAAACAGCGTGTTTACAAGAGCTGAACAAATTTATTGAGAAACAAAGACTGAAATGGTTTGGTCATCTAATGAGATTGAAACCAACAATGCCAGCAGCAAGACCGCACACCCTGAACATTGAAACACCAAGAGTCAGGGGAAGACCGAGAGGAAGATGGATTGAAGGAGTCACTGACACCTTGAGACTGCATAACATATCAAGCTATCGAACATGCCCTGGCTCGGCTGCTGATCGTCTTTTGCCTAGCGGCATTAGCAGATATTGACAAAATAATAAAAACTTACCTCAACATTAAAAAAAATTTTTTTACCTTTGCCCAAGTGACCTTAAGTGGGTAAATAAAAAATTGTATGAATTGTTTTAACGACTTGACATGGGAGCTGTAGCCTTCATACTTGCCTGTCTGCTCAGTGATATAGGCGCTCAACCACCTGGATTTTTATCATTTCTTTCTTTTATAAAAGCTTGGCAAGACTTCAGATTTCTTCTTCTTCTTCTCTTCATCTCGTTTCTTAGGGTCGTTTCAGTGAATTTTTTTAAGGATGTATTTTTTAAAATCATATTTGGAAAAAGGTTTTTTTTAAAAAAGATTTTTACAGGACGAAATAGTTATAATGAAAAATTAACGAGATACCATTTTGAGTTCAAAGTTAGTAAAGGATCTTTTGAACTCCTGTGAGGTATCTGGCATATTATGCTAGACTGGTATTTTTATAGACTAGTCAGCACTTGCTGGGTAATGTGGTCAGCATCTTGCTGCCCGCCTTTACTTCCCATAACTTTTCCTGGTATCCATTTTACCCTCAGTCGACCAGTGTCATTTTGGGTAAATCCCTACTTACTGGGGACTTGAACCCAAGACCTTCAGGCAGGCACGCGAGCATCTAACCACTACACCACCACAGCTGCAAGTGTTTAAAGTCATTTATGTATAATCTGTTCTTTGATTTTCAGGCTGGGAGTGCATTCAATTTAAGCTCTGATCCATTTGTTGATGTCTCCCAAGGAGACAAAGATACGAATGCGTTTGATGCATTTGGCGTGAGTTGGACATCAGGCAGTTCTTTCGGCCAGTCTGATAGTGTAAGTGTTGACAGTACCCCTTCTGTGCTTACCCTTAACTCTTTCAGTGCTGAACAGTTTTTACTTTAACTGACTAGATCCCAAGGAGCTGAGTTCCCCACATAGGTTCCATGGCCCCATTGTAGGGAAAACAAGAATAGACCCACTACTTATCCAAAAGCATGTCATAGGAATTGACAAATTGGGAGCTTCCTTCAAAGTCAGAGTGTATCTGTCTTAGAGGCAAGGAACCAACAGTATGCATACAGATGAGTAAGATCTGTAAAACTGATGCACACACAACACTCAGGTTCTGGATCAGGACTACAGTCCAGAAGTGGACAAGAAGCAGAACTTTCAGCTGGAGTATACAGCTAGTAAACGCAGAGAAGATAAGAAGGAGTTTAGTTTAGAATAACAATTACTTAAATAGATAAGACATACTATGGGGCAGATTTAGTTGATCTGATGTTTTTTTTTTAATATTTCAAGTATCCAGAAACCATGAGTTGTAAACCCTGTGGCTCGGTACTATGGAAATCGCAACCCTTTGGCCTTGATTCCATGATAAATACCGTAAATCTGAGAGAAATGTGTCTTTTCTGCCTACCCCCGAACGTGAACCCGGACCACAAGGAGTTCGTCACCCGGTCGCCGCGCAGAGGGTTTTAACCAACTGCGCTAGCAAGACGGACGATCTAATGCTTCAGATATAAAGGGTTAACAAAGCAGCTGACTGTGATAGAAGACAACAAGAACAACGTTGTTTCATTGGGAAACACAAAGTAACATATGATGAGATATTTAGTACTGAAAGAGTTAAAAAGGATGGTCAGCACATTCTGTTGCGGTTTTTTTCAGCTAGGCTTCTATAACTGTGCCTTTGGACCTAACAAATGCTATATCAACTGACCCCTAACTATTGGCTTTTATGACGTGCTAACAAAGGGCAAGGGGTCTATTTCTATTTTCCCCCCAAAGTGGAGCCCTGGAATGTACACAGGGAGGCAGTACTGAATGTCGAGAGTTTGGCTTCAGAGTTAGGTTTGAACAGCTCTCACATTGTCCTGAAATTGGGTTCCAGAATCAGAATGCCAACAAGCCTGGGGCTTGAAGAGTCTTCATGAACAACATGTTAACCTTGGGTGATCTGGGAATCTTAGTTTCAGCTTCATAACAAACAGTTCACCCCATAGTTGCTCTGCTTCTGTGCCAGCATAAAACGCACAGAAAATGTCCATCACTGTCCTCCTGTTGAGATAATCGACACTGACTGCAGTCTCAGCATATTCACTAGCATACACACACATTAAAAGCATAAGGCAGCCAACAGAATTGCCAACACAAACAGTCCTGCATTAGAAATACAGGTCATCATTGTCAGAAACAGCAGTTACAAACAGATCAGCAGTTGCACACACAATCAGTTTTAGTCACATAAGGCACTACCAGTTCTGTGGCAGTATCCCCACTCACCATTTTCTGAATCTACAGTTCACATTGGTCACAGTAAAAAAACATTCCAAATTAAATCTGCAGCTCACAGTGTCGTACCATCCACTCAGCTTAGTACATGGACGACAAAACTATCATTTCAATTTACAAATGGAGGAAAATGTAATGGCCACCGCCTGTCAGAAGCAAACATTTGCCATGACTGAAAACAGGGACTGTGTCTATCGTCCTGTTTGACCTGTAAGCTCCATGTATGCATTTCATTTGCATAATGTGGTGCAAAATTAGCAATTCTAATTAGAATGCTTTGAATCCATTATCTTAACTTCTAGACATAGTACATTAAAGTTTGGATTGTGCTTGGATTATGTTGTGTTAGTGCTTGATTCACTTTGTCAGTTTCATTGAGACAGAACTTGTGGGTAAATGATTGAACAGAAGAATGTTGTTTCAGAAGCTTAATGAAAGAAATAACTGGACATCATTCTATAGACATACTTAAGTTGAAGTGAGTTGAGTTGAGTCAAGCACTCAGGACATTCCTTTAAGCACTCCATCTCCTATCTTCAGAAAACAGCGCCGAGTTCCAATTCTGCTGATGCTAGTAGCAGTTCAATTGTGTGTCCATTTTGCCTTTTCCATGGGTTTTGAACCAGATTTCCTGGTCGCTACCCATTCTCTTGCACCATTCTCTTCATACAGTTGTAATCTGTTTGTGCTTCTTCACTGTTGAGGCACTGCCAGGGGGCCTTGACAACATCTAGACATACTGTTATATATTTAATAAATATTTAACTTGAAAGCATGACTGGCTTTGACATCGTTGTTGCCCTTCTTGTCCTTCTTCGTGTTCATTCACTGAAAACTCCAGAGGAAAGTCCCGGATGTTCCTCTACTTCTGGACTTTGGTCTGGTTTCAGAGTTTTGCCTGCACATTTGTTTTACAGATCTGACTTATTTGTAGGCACATTGTTTTTTCCTTATCTCTCAGGCAGATGCACTCTGACCAGAAGGAAACACCCCTTACCACTCGCCTTTTACAAATTATGAATGCTTGTTAGGAGGGCATTGGGTCTGCTCCCCCTCCCCCCACCCCCTAAATATGGGACTCTGGAACCGACACCTAGAATTTTTGTTACTAATACAAATGTGTGTATATATATATATATATATATATATATATATATATATATATATATATATATATATATATATATATATATATATATATATATATATATATATATATATATATATATATATGCCCTTCAACATCTGCTAAAGTCAAAGTGTCTATCTCGCAACACCAAGATCAAAATATATAAAACTTTGATTAGACCAGTCATGTTATATGGCTCTGAAACTTGGAGCACAACGAGATTGAGCCTTATTACAGGTTTTCGAAAACAGTGTCTTATGACGAATCTTTGGACCCATCAGAGGTGCAAACAGCGGTGAATGAAAAGTGAGAAGCAACAATGAAATTCATCTGTTTAAATCACCATTGATCACCGTCATCATGAGAGCTAATAGACTGAAATGGTTAGGGCAAATTGAAATAATATCAGATGACAGAGAAGTAAAAATTGAATACACAAAGGAGATGAATGGTCATAGACTACAAGGCAGAACAAGATTACGATGGAGAGATAATGTCTAGACAAACCTGCAAACACTTGGCATGGTCAACTGGAAAGAGAGGGCCAACCAGAGAGATGAATGGAGGCGGGTGATATCTGCAGCAATGAACCTCAAGGGCTCGGAATGCTGAAGAAGAATCCAATGTAGATATATACAAAAGATAGGGTATTACATTTTGTAAGTTTCAACATTTGTCTTACTTTCCATAGTGCAAGTTAGAAGATGGATACACTTATATTTCAGCTAGTTTTAAAAGTTACTTCATCATTGCTAAATTGTTACCACTTTTTTCTTTCTCTCTCTCAGAAATCCAGTTCCAGTAATGATCCATTTGGCACATCCCCAATATCAAATCTTAGCCCTGCTCAGAAGAGGCCTCCTCCACCACGCCCTGCTCCAATAAAATCAAGAAGCCCTATCTCATTTGGATCTGTTTCACCGAATCCATCAGTTCAGCCCTTGGGTGGATTTGAGTCTGACCCGTTTGGAGGAGGTGACCCTTTCAACGGTGGGGGAATTTTGAAAAGTAGTGAAAGAAACAGTTCCGCGGATCCATTTGCAAATTTTGCAGACTTTAGTCCAGGGAAGGTAAGATTGACATGTGTGCTCAAGTCACATTTGTGTGTGTGCTAATGTTTTTCCTTCCTCCTAGAAATGTATGAATTTCATCTACTCCTCCTTCTTTTTCTCATCACCCTTATTTTTCTCATCATGCTTCTTTTTCTCATCATCCTTCTTTTTCTCATCATCCTTCTTTTTCTCATCATCCTTCTTTTTCTCATCATCCTTCTTTTTCTCATCATCCTTCTTTTTCTCATCATCCTTCTTTTTCTCATCATCCTTCTTTTTCTCATCATCCTTTTTCTCATCATCCTTCTTTTTCTCATCATCCTTCTTTTTCTCATCATCCTTCTTTTTCTCATCATCCTTCTTTTTCTCATCATCCTTCTTTTTCTCATCATCCTTCTTTTTTCTTATCATCCTTCTTTTTCTCGTCATCCTTCTTTTTCTCATCATCCTTCTTTTTCTCATCATCCTTCTTTTTCTCATCATCCTTCTTTTTCTCATCCTTCTTTTTCTCATCCTTCTTTTCCTCATCATCCTTCTTTTCCTCATCATCCTTCTTTTTCTCATCACCCTTCTTTTTCTCATCATCCTTCTTTTTCTCACCATCCTTCTTTTTCTCACCATCCTTCTTTTCTCACTATCCTTCTTTTTCTCATCATCCTTCTTTTTCTCATCATCCTTATTTTTCTCTTCATCCTTATTTTTCTCATCATCCTTCTTTTTCTCATCATCCTTCTTTTTCTCATCATCCTTCTTTTTCTCATCATCCTTCTTTTTCTCATCACCCTTCTTTTTCTCATCATCCTCCTTTTTCTCATCATCCGCCTTTTTCTCATCATCCTCCTTTTTCTCATCATCCTCCTTTTTCTCATCATCCTCCTTTTTCTCATCATCCTCCTTTTTCTCATCATCCTCCTTTTTCTCATCATCCTTCTTTTTCTCATCATCCTTCTTTTTCTCATCATCCTTCTTTTTCTCATCATCCTTCTTTTTCTCATCATCCTTCTTTTTCTCATCATCCTTCTTTTTCTCATCATCCTTCTTTTTCTCATCATCCTTCTTTTTCTCATCATCCTTCTTTTTCTCATCATCCTTCTTTTTCTCATCATCCTTCTTTTTCTCATCATCCTTCTTTTTCTCATCATCCTTCTTTTTCTCATCATCCTTCTTTTTCTCATCATCCTTCTTTTTCTCATCATCCTTCTTTTTCTCATCATCCTTCTTTTTCTCATCATCCTTCTTTTTCTCATCCTTCTTTTCCTCATCATCCTTCTTTTCCTCATCATCCTTCTTTTTCTCATCATCCTTCTTTTCTCATCATCCTTCTTTTCTCACATCATCCTTCTTTTTCTCATCATCCTTCTTTTTCTCATCACCCTTCTTTTTCTCATCATCCTTCTTTTTCTCATCACCCTTCTTTTTCTCATCATCCTCCTTTTTCTCATCATCCTCCTTTTTCTCATCACCCTTCTTTTTCTCATCATCCTCCTTTTTCTCATCATCCTTCTTTTTCTCATCATCCTTCTTTTTCTCATCATCCTTCTTTTTCTCATCATCCTCCTTTCTCATCATCCTTCTTTTTCTCATCATCCTCCTTTTTCTCATCATCCTCCTTTTTCTCATCATCCTTCTTTTTCTCATCATCCTTCTTTTTCTCATCATCCTTCTTTTTCTCATCATCCTTCTTTTCTCATCATCCTTTCTTTTCTCATCCTCCTTCTTTTTCTCATCATCCTTCTTTTTCTCATCATCCTTCTTTTTCTCATCATCCTTTCTTTTCTCATCATCCTTCTTTTCTCATTATCCTTTCTTTTCTCATCATCCTTCTTTTTCTCATCATCCTTCTTTTTCTGCTTCCTCTTCACTTTCTCTTTCTGTTCTGGTTCTTGCTCTTCTGGCTGCCTTGACCATTTAAAAAAAATGTAAAAGTAAAGGGCCCTTTTCACGCCTTTAGGCGTATAGGGCATTTAGGGCTAGACCTATATTTTATAGACCAACCGGCACAATATGGTTGATGTGGTCAGCATCAGGCCAGCCACCTTTACTTCCTAGGACTGCACCCGGTATCCACTTGAGGCTGGGTCGACATAGGAGCTAAGGTAATTTTTGAAAAAAGTCAGGCTCCGCCAGGGAGCAAACCCACAAACTTCTGATCCTCAGGCGAGCATCTAGCTGCTTTGCCACGGTGACTCCCGCCTTGACCATAGACACATCATATTGTTGTAGAGTTTGTCTGATGTCATGTTTCCATATTTTTCTTGGTCTGCCTCTTTCTCTGCACATCTTTATTTGTGAGGTATATTGTCATAGGGAATTCTTTGTATGCGGGCAGACCATTTCATGTGCTGTCTTTGTGTGTCACTCCTGCAGTCTTTCTCAGACTTCTGATTTTCATGGTTACTAATTTTAGTTTGTGTGCAGTTTAACCAAATAATGGAGCTTAAAAAAACACTAGGAATTCTTTGATGTGGACTAGAAGTCCAGTCTTGAAATGTTGCCACGGCGGTCACCAGTATGAACTACTATTTTCAATGTGGTGTGTTTACGGCATGTCTTTGGTGTGGTTTACAGCTAGGCTGAAATATTTGCACCTTTCAGCCCAACATGTCCGAATTTGACAGACTCCTAATTAGTTGCCTTTTACAACCTGCTTGTTATAGGGCACTGAGTATATTCTTGAGGAGTAGCAGCGTGTCTGTATTGTGGTTTACAGCTAGGCTGCAGTATCTCACCTTTCAGCCCAGCAGTGATTTGGTTACGGTAAAAAAAAAAAGGGAGCTCTCTTTTTTGGTGCCTGTCATTAAACTCGTTCATTCCCAGAACTTTTCACAGCAGTTGCTTGAAGCAGAGAAATGACCACAAGTACAAAACCTTCAAAAAGACAACTGGGAATGCCAGATCTCTTCTTCTTCTTCTTGTTTCTACTCCTTGAAAGCCTTGCAGTGTCAGGGCAGGAATAGATCTCTGGAAGGGACCCTTCTGTTCGCTGTGTATAAAGCACTTTTCAATGTCTGATTTTTCTGTGGTCTATCTTCTGCGTGGTCGACCTCTGGCTCTGTTACTGCTGTATCTGTATAATATTGCTCTCTGTGATGCCCTGTCTGATACCAGTCTTGTTTCATGGCCAAAGTTTTATTTGCTGTCTACCTATAAAGTTCAGTATTTGTTCTGTACTGACTCTGCTCCTGATATCATTGTTCCTAAGTCGATCTATCATTGTTCCTAAGTTGATCTTTCCTCATTACACCTAGCCATGGCCATCTTTAGATATTCTGGTAGTCTGATAGTCTGGTAGTCTTAGTTTCAGCGTCATAGCAAACGGGTCGCCCCATCTTTGCTCCGCTCCTGTGCCAGCGAAAAACACCCAGAATGTTTATCACAGTCCCTTGTGGAAAGATTGACAGACTGCTGTCTCAGCATATCTAGCATACACTCGCATTAACGCATATGGTAGCCATCCGAAGTGCTAACACAAACAGTCCAACATTAGAAATGCAGTTCATCATTGATGATAGCAGAACTTGTCGCCAACAGATCAGCAGTTGCCCGCGCGATCAATTTTAATACGGGTTCCGCCAGCATTGCACGACCGGCATCGCGCCATTTTCTGAATCTACAATTCACACCACGTTGGTCACAGTCGAAAAAACATTCCAAATGCAATCCGCAGCTCACAGGGTCACGCCATGCATTCAACTCAGAAGCTGGGCGACGAAACTATATCCAGTCTACAAATGGAGCAAAAATACTTCGGCAACTGTCCGGCAGAAGCAAAAAATTTGCCTCCGCTCCGAACAGCGCCGCTGTCTAGCGTCCATTTTAACCGGAAGATCATCTTTAGATATAAATAGGCCAACTGGGTCAACGGGGATTCCCGTTCTTGTGCAAGAATTGAGTCCTTCTGTGTTAACAGTTTTTATCGAGGAGATGTATACACAAATAAAACTACAGTTTCATTAATTTTCTACATATTTTATAGAACTATACGTTATTTTTAAGGTAAATAAGTGTGCTATTTAAATATAACAATAAACGCTCTTACAGACAAACAAAAATACTTTTGCTACAGTCAACATGAACATAAACATCAATACTGTTAGTTATTAATTAGTAAACAAGCGGCTGACTTGCTTAAAAAGTTAAGTAAATTATAATTACATGATACACAGCAAAAAGATAATGACAGTTGAAAACATGCTGGGAATAGATGGCCCTAGAGAACTACAGGGAAAGATTTAACAGTACATCACAAGAACAGAGGTTAATAATATATATATATATATATATATATATATATATATATATATATATATATATATATATATATATATATATATATATATATATATATATATATATATATATATATGTTAAGTCAGTGAAGCACATTAAAACATGTTTTTTTCCACTTACCCAGAGGCAGCTCAGAAATATCCTGACACAATTTATCCACAGTGAAGTTGCACCATTTATGCACAGTCAATAGGAAAGTAATAATTTTCTTTCAGAGTAAATTTCATAACAATACTAGGGCACTACTAAATATTTCTCCTCTATAATGTATAGAGAATATATACAAGTCAACATGATCATATGGTTTAAGATGAGAGATGACAACATTCTCTCCTTATTCATTGTGCAAATTTGTGCAGTTTCCTCTTGTTAAATGAATTCAGTTCCTTATCATTGTGAATTTTTTGGTAATTATTTAGGAATATATTACACAGTGGAGTTAGCGCTTTTGAAATAATACCCGACTTTGGACACCCATTGGCATACACACCATTCACTTCATCAGCATAATATTTCTGAATACTGCATGTAACAATGCACATAAGTAGCTTCTTGTGCTGTTTACATGACATGAATTTAGCTTCTAGTTCTGATGATATGAGCCTCTGCATAGCAGCATAAGACACAAATGTCAACAGTGTAATCAACTTACAAGGGTATTTGAAGCCTCCTCGATCCATTAGCTCGATATACTCAGTGGAGAAATCTGGCTGAACATCAGCTGTTAATGTTTTGTCCATTTGTAGCAAAGTCTTACATGACATGCACTGAACTTTTCTGGTGATCTTAATAGAGACAAAACCAGCAATATAAATTAATACTTCCTCTGTGCCTTCAACACAATACAACTCACAGTCATTAGGATCAATGTGGAAAAATACTTTGTCTAGATCAGACTGGATGACATCAAAAACATGGCACTCATCATCCACTGTGCTCACAGCCTCTGCAAAGTTGCGAATTGCAAAGTTTCCATAAACAGATGATGTCAGGCATAAAACAGAGTAAACCTTCAATTTCTTTTCTGCTTCCAAAATTTGTTTCACCGACACAAGATAGTTTGCACCTGACAATTGTCGATATTCACTAAATCTGGCTTCTAAATTATCTGTTTGTAGTTTTCCCAAAAGTAGGAATTCCACATTAAAAGTAGAAAAAGAATAGTCAGCCAGTTCAATCACAGCTTTTACAGTATGCAACAAAGCAGTATGTGTCTCTCTTCTTAGTTTTTCCTTCAAAGCAGGCACCTTAGTACATTCAGTTAACCAAACAAGAAAGTTTTTCAAATAATGAAGTGATTCATCATTAACTGAAGTGAGTGGACTGACAAATATATTACCAGTATCTCTACCTGAGAATCTACTCTTAACATTCATAACATGCCACCACCTCCAAATGGCTTGAATAAAATCTGCTGTTTCTTGATTTCTTACAAACTTTAGAGCAGCAATGTTGTACTCACTGAAAATAGCAAGAGCTAGTGAAACATTCTGCCTTTCTATACTGGAAGGGTAAAGAGCTTTGTATCTTAAAGGTGGTGCTAACTTCACAATGTTGAGGCGCTCGGTCTGGTATAGATCCTTCAGATGTGAAAAAGAAGCACTTGCTACTTTGCTGGTATAATTTGAGGTAGATGCTGCATTCAGCATTAACCCAGCTGTGGAAGGATATGAAAATGTCTGCTCTGTGTCTTTCTGATTTATCCAATTTCTCCATATACATTTAAGCAGGTGAACAGAGTCATACAGAAAGAAGATTTTGTTGCCTGGAATGCCTGGATTTTCTATGCATGTACTGCTGGACTTGAGAAGATTGTTGTACACTTTGCGGTTAACAGAGTAGTTGTCTGCAATAACTGCCAAAACTGTAAAACCACATTCTTGAACAGTTTTGATTATCTGAAGCAATTTTGCACTTAGATCCTTTGATGTTATTCTGTGCATAGGTGCCAACTCTACAACTTCATGGTAACTACCAAATACAGAAGAAATCATAAAAGCTTGTATTGTTGTTTCTGAATGTGTTGAGTTTTCAGCTCTACCAAGTAACCGACCTCCTGAGTAATTTACAGCTGATTCCACATGGATTTCATCCATTTGCACCGCTACAATCTTTTCCAAATCAGAAAGCCTGCACTCTTTAAATTTTAAGTATCCAGAAATGCTCTCATCACTGTTAGACAGTGCACAAGGTGAAGTTAAACTTGTTAATGTGTTCGGATGTGGGAGACACAATAACATAGATTTTCTGATAAATCTGTAGCATGCAGGAGATTTGATGAAAATCATAGGAAAAACACAATGTACTACTGCTGTAGCGTCTGGCATATTTGCTCTTATTAATCAGTTGAATCTGTTCTGTCATAAACATTAATTGCTTTTCAGTTGTCTGTACATTAGTGTCCTCAGATGATAACAGGAGTTCTCTAGCAATATCTAAGTTACTGCAAGCTTCTTCTAACAAATCACTGAAACTCTTCGGAGATGTTGCGGAGTCAGTCTCCTTGTAACGAAACAGTAGATTTTCTAGTTGCGACCATCTTTCCAATTTACTTTTAGTAATAATCCAATCAAGATCTTGACAAGCAACCTGTTTACTTTCCAGATACACTTCTACACACATATCTGGTAAGATATTTACACTTACTGATATTGATGGTGCAGTGTCTGCTTTCACCCTGACTGTGTACAATACAAGACAACATGATGTACCCTCTGTGACAGTATACATTTTCCAGTTCGTAGTCTTTTAATTTGGTGGTAATCTGACACTGCAGCGTTTCAAAATCCTCTACAATATCCATTGTTAGCCACTCGCTGTTATTATTTTCATATCTGCTGACAATTTCTGATGCTCATTTTTTAGGATTTTTGCGAGCTTGTGGTACTTCAACTGATAAGTAGGCTGGCAGTTCTGGAAACACAGATGAGATGGATATGCATTTGATTTTTAAATAGGATACTTTCTGGGTACCTCATGTTCAACACCAGATTTATCTGTAAATTTGTTCGATACAATAAAATCACGGGGAAGAAAATGATGACGACACACCACGCTGTATTTATTAGGCGACCAATCTTTACGTGGTATGCACTTTTTCCATTTATCTCTCATTTCAGAATCCCTTGGGAATTTGAATACAGTTACATATTCACTCGTCGATCTATAATTAGATTTAAATAAAGGAATACTACATTTCCTAGGCATTTTTATTTATATAATCACACGCAAAACAGTTAAATATAGTTAATGGAGTATGTATCCTCAACACGCAAAACATCCCAACAAAGAACACATCAGTCGAAGAAGGAAGGAAGTAGGGACTCCCTTCCGCTTTTTTATGAAATTAGTTAGAAGGACCTATAAGTAGCCCGGAAGATGGGCATGACCTAGCATAGTACGTAAACATTTCATTTCTGTCATAACAATTTTCCTTCTGTTTTCTGGAGACAGTATCCATGTTTCACTCTGATTTCATAGCATTGGTAAGAATATTGTGTTGAACAGTGTTATTTTTTTTAGTGTTCATATTCAAATGCTTGCATTTCAAAATTGGTGCCATTTGGCCTAAAACTTTATTGGCTTTATTGCATCTTTGCTGGATTTATTTATTCATTCTTTCCCTGTGCAGATGTCTTTAGTATTCTATTAGCAAATGTAAACAAGTAACAAAACATATTGCTTCATGTTTGGGGTTCATGTGAACCTGTTTATCCCACATGATGTGTGGCATGGGACAAAAAAGTTTAAAAAAAAAAAACTAAATTATAAGTACAACATATTTATGATTCATTCTTCTATTAACACAGAAATACTCTTCTCTCAAACAGTTTGTTGCTCCAGATGATGAGGATTTCTTTGGTGGACCCAGTACTATAAGCATTAAAGATTCCAGCCTAGCACAGTCTCAGCTGGGAAGGCAGAACATTAAAATAGGTGGCCACAAGTTAGGATTTAACGACTCTGAAGCCTAGATGTCCAGTAAAACCATAGTATATACACAGGAGTGCACACTGTTTTTATATATATATATATATATATATATATATATATATATATATATAATATATATATATATATATATATATATATATATATATATATATATATATATATATATATATATATATTTATGTATGTATGTATCTATGTGTGTGTGTGTATTTTAATTCACGAAGTATTATGATTGTCAGTATATTTATCATTCATATCGTCTTGCATCCGCGTGTATTTGTAGACATGTTCTTTAGAAGGTACCACAATGTGTCACAATGTAGTAGTTGCCAGTTGTTTGTGCATATTGTGTAGTGCTGCAAACCTTTATCTTTTGATGCAGCTGTAGTGGTGACTGTTGTAAAATTGTTCTGCTTAGAACTCCATTTGGTGCATTTTGTATAGCATTAATTTTTTTGGAAAGGGGGAGAGGGGGGGGGGGCTGTTGTTTTATTGTAAGAACACTTCGTTGTGGTTGTATAAATATATTTTGTTGTTTTCTATTGTTTTATTATGACACAATCAGTCCTGGTGTTTGTATCATAGTATATATAGTTCATGTTAAAAAAATGAGCCTGATTGTTACATGGGTTAGTATATTTGCTTACTGTCACAATAATTTGAGATTCAATCTTCAAACACAAATGACAAATGAGCATTGTGGCTAGGGAGCCTTTGTTAGCATACTACACAAATATACAATACCACAAACACAAACATGAGTCATAACATGTCGGAGAGGAATCACATATCTGTCTGGTGTGTTGAATCTCTGACACATGTGTGACCACTGGGTTTAAATACTAGCCAGAGGAAAGAAGAAGAAAAACTGAGTGGCGAGTGTCATAACTCAGAAATATTAGATAAAACTGTGTTAGGTGTTAAGACCCCTAGATAAATTAGAGCCCATTAGATGATAGATAAATTCATGTTGGAAAATAATTACAAAGTTGACTTGTTTGCCACTTTTTGATTTGTTGTGGATTGATTGGATTAGTGAGCACGTGTTTGAGCACATTCAGTTTCCTGGTTACAAATCCTTTAATGCGTTACACATAATACAAATCTGAGATACAAATCTCATGATACAAAGCCCATGTTACAGCTAAATAATTTGCTTAATGAATCCTGTGCAAACAGCTCATTGAAGGCAGGACAGTGATTGCAGCGAAGTTTTGCATCTCGTTATCTACTATGTTAACCCTACCAGACCTAAGGGCCTGAACCTTACTGTCCCCTACAGCTGGGCTGCAAAGCATTAAAAAGAAAAAGACCAACATGATATAGAAAAAAATATTAGTTACATGCAAACATGTGGTTAGAATAAGATGGAACTTGGAGATATTGTAGGAAATAGGTCTGCCTTTCATCTAGCGCCAATATTCCACTTTTGTATTCCAATCCACTCAGTCGGCTGATCCTTGTTTCACAGAGAGGTACTTCTTACAAAGTGAGCACCAGATGTTGCTCTCCACCTTCTTGCATAGATTGTATTTGTTGACACGCCCCCTTTTCTTACTGCCGATCAAGCTCTAGATCTGTAAGGTTCAAGATTGTCCTCATTGCTCGAGATCTCACTGTCTGTGTCGCTTGAACTGGAAATGTATTCTTGATGAAATTCTGACTTCCCATTGTCTGAATCAACCAAAGTATCAAACTCCTGTTGGACTGTGAAAAGCCTAGACCTACTTCGCTTTCCTGCTGAAGTGCTCGGTTTATCAACCGCTCATTTATTGTGAATTTTCAGAACTTTTTCACGTTAAACCGCACAAAGTCAATTCAAAAACATTAGGGTAGACTTTGTAGTAGCTAAGCATGAGGTTTCACCACGATTGGTTGTTTATTTTTGTTTTGTGACGCATTTTTTTCTCGTACGAGGCGAATTACCGAAAATTAGGTACAGCGATCTGGTAGAATTAAATAAATTTTATATTTCTAACATGTAGTGTGAATGTAATAAGCTATATTTATATGTGTAAGAGAACTGGTTTGTTAGGTGATAATGTAAGGATTCTTTCCTTACTTTGAGACCATGTTAGGTATATGGTGTTAATCTAATATTTTAGACCAATGGACAATCAGTGGATGATATTGTCAGTTCATTTTGGCAGCTTTTACTTCCTTGGAAATTTCCTGGTATGTGTTTAAGACTTTGTTAGTATGTTTGTTTATTTTAAAGGATTTTTCTGGAATTCTTACAGGTTTTTGGCCCATTTTTCTTTAATTCTTCTTTTTTTTAAAGTATTCATGGTATTAAATAGTTAAATTAGGGATTTGGGAAAACTGTTGATGTCATAACTATTTTTTTTTTTCAATTAAAAAAAAATTTTTTTTTAAATATGCAGATGTTTTTAGTGCTTTGAGCAATTACAGTTTTTGTCAATACATTGGGAGTAAACACATTTGTTACATAAATAAACAGAGTATCTTCTTCTTCATCTTTGTTCACCGGCGAAAGCTGTGGCGGAAGAAAGTCCTGGTTGTTCGTCTGTTTGGACTTTGGCTTTGTGCGGGGGCCTGAGTTTTGCTAGTAAACCTGTTTCACTGGCTTATTTGTGTGCAGCTGGTTGTTCTTTACCGCTTGGACAGATGCGCTCTGACTTCGAAGGAAGCTCCTAATTCATCTACTCATGTGATATGCTTGTTGTGGATGCAGTGGGTCTGTTCTTGTTTTCCCCTCAATGGGGCCCCGGACCCCACATGAGAAATACAAAGTATGTAGTGCCATTACTTTGGCCAAGTAGCTTTACTCTTCATTGTCTTCCTACCAGTGTAGGTTCCGAGGCCAAAAACATGTAAGAGTCGACTGATTGGGAGCTTTCTTCGAAGCCGAAGTGCATCTGCCTGAGAGGCGAGGAACCAGCAGTCTGCATGCCAATGAGTCAGATCTGTAAATCGGATGCACACGCAACACTCAGGTTCTGGAACAGGACTGCAGGCCAGAAGTGGACAAACAACCAGAACTTTCTGCCGGAGTTTACAGCTGGTGAAGGCGAAGAAGAAGAAGAAGAATTGTCTTCCTTTTGTGGTGTTTATGTGGGACATAAGGCTCAAAGTCTTTTCCTCTGTTTCATTCTATCCAGTGTAATTTTTTTTTTTCATATCAAGGTTGGAATCCAGTCCAGCACCTCTAGCTTTTCTCACCAACATTCATCAAGGATTTCTCTTTGATGGGCTCATTTCCTTATTCCATTTGCTTCCTATTCTGGTGCCTGTTTTGTGATTCTTGTTCTGCTTTACCTCAGGATGTGCCAAATGTATTGCCATCTACTTTGCCTTATAAGTCTTGATGCTAGTGGTTGTCCAGACATTTGTCTGATTTCCTCCTATTTCTTAAATTTATATAATTTAGAATCCATCAGTTTCATCAAGCATTTGTTTGCGAATGCGTTTAACTTTTGTTCCCCTCCCTCCCACCTTCTCAAAATGAGCCTGATTGTTACATGGGTTAGTATATTTGCTTACTGTCACAATAATCTAAGATTTAATCTTCAAAAGTGACAAGGGTGGTGTTTCTTCCTTAGTCAACACAGTGCAGCAATAGAATGTGAGTCATAGTTCATTTTGTAAGCTGTAGGGAAGACAAATCAGACCTCATTACCTTGTTTCTTTGCAATGAAACTCTGCTTTTATACTAGACAATTTCACAATGATGTGTACTGTAAGACAAGAGACCTAAGTGCTGAGGAATCCCACATTTTTCCACTTGTACACTGTACACCTTTACAGATAATTTTTGCTTTTCTTCTTTGATTGTGACATACTTGTGCATCTGTATTTCTGAATTTACCAAGAAATACAAGATTGTGTTCAATGTTATTTACCAGCCCTTTGCTCAGACTTTCTCTGACACCTTCAGAGATTATTTTTCTAAGAACTCAACCTTAAGACAAAAACTACTATTGTTGTGACTCTACAGGTGTAATTTAGTTATTGTTTGCTTTTTGTGGGTTGGGACATATTGAAAGAATGTCAGATGACAGAGAAGTAAAACTTGTATAAACCAGGGATTTTTTTTGGGTCGTAGACCACGTTCAGACCAAGAAGACGATAGAGAGATAATATCCAGACAGACCTGCAAACACCTGGTGTCACCAACTGGAAAGAGAAGGCCAACCAGTGAGATAAATGGAGGCAGGTGATAATCTGCAGCAATGAACCTTAAGGGCTCGGAATGCTGAAGAAGAAGAAAAAGAACATTTTTGTGGGGGCATGTTTGTAAATTGTTTTTAAATTCCAGAGTACATTTCATTAGGATGTGTAGGTTTTGTGTGTGTATTTCTGTGCACGTGGCATACAGCTGGTGCTTTAGTTTGTTACTGCTGAGATCAAAGCATGCTTAAACATTAACTAAAGGACCCTTTTCCACGCCTTCAGGTGTACTGTACATATAGGGATAGACCCATATTTTATAGACCAATTGGCACTCGATGGGTGATATGGTCATCTTCACGCCGGCTGCCTTTACTTCCCAGGGCTGTACCTGGTACCCATTAAAGGCTGGGCCGACCGGGGAGCCAAGGTCATTTTTGCAGTACCATCAAGTCCTGAACCCACAACCTTCTGATCTTCAGGCAAGCAGATGCCACTGCACCACCGCGTCCCACCTCTAACTATAGCAAAGTATATAAATATCAAGGTGTGTGATAATGAATTTTTCCTTTTTGACAACAATAGGATAACTGACTGTTTTCATCTTTATACCCAGTGTTTGTTTTCCAATTTGTTTGTGATGTTTCTCTGTATGATTGGTTTATTTGACAAGTGTTGTACAGACCATGTTGCTCAGTACACTGGCATATGCGGTACCTTTCTGACTCAGGTAATTTTTATTAATTGGAAATGTGATTTATATGTAAACCCAGTGATCAACCTTTTGTATGTTTAGGGACTTCTTCTTCCTCTTCTTGTTGATTGTGACTTTTTAGTTTATTTTAATATTCTTTGGAACGTGATGTCTAAGGCTTTTAGGGGGGGGGGG